TATAAGCCTCTAATTTTTTTTCTAAAACCTTATGCGAGTATTAAAAAAATAAATTATTAACTGGAAATTAATTTATTTAAGATGTTCAAACCACAAAACAATCATAAAACATCAGACCATGTTTGTTTGAAAAGTTTTAGGAGATTTCTTTTTTTTTTTAAAAAAAAAAGGGGTAGATATTTTCCAATTTTTTATTAATTTTAAGTACGATGTGCAACAGGAAGATATTAACCGATTTTAAAAATTTTATACCATTTTTGTTCCGATTGTAATAGGCAACTTTTCCGCGCCAAATCGTTCCCAAACTAAAAAAAAAATGTCGATCCTCTTTGAGTGAATAGCTAAATTTGAATGTTCCAAAAGGAAATTGCTTTACGTAACTTTGAATTAAAAATAAGAAACCTGTTATGTTAGTAAAGCATATAATGCTCCCATTTTTCTTTCAGTTAACTAAGAGAATAATAATGTTAGAAATTGCGTTTATGTCGTTGCATGAGTTGCCTTTTTATTTCAGGAATTGTAACCCTTTGCAATAAAAAAGTAAGAATTTTTTTTTTCAAAATTTCTATGAAAAACAAGAATTTATTTTAATTATAAAATATATGCTTATGTATTTGGGGTAAGTATAAACCCGTACAATACTGCATGCACAGTCTGGTGATCCTGAAACTTTTTTATTTTTGCTGTAAAATCATAAATTCGATATTAAACAGGGTAAATCGGAACAACTCATATACCTTCAGAGAGACCAAACCTTAGTGCAAAAAAGCATTTTTTTTAAACAAACAAATACCAAGTACAGAGATCGAAAAATAATGAGTCTGAAATTTGAATCAATTTCTTCCAAAATAGAATGAAATAAAAGCAGTCTAGTTTCTCCTTTCTATCTGACAAGAGATCATATTTTTGGACTTTAAATGTTTCTGGAAGAATATCATGGGACTCACTCTTCAAATTAATTTCTTAAAAGAGAGGCCCTGCAAAGAGAACAGTGTCTTAATCCACCACTATTGGATAAATTGTTATGAATAAGCTGAAAGCTATAAAAATAAATCATAGATGACTCTTCCTCAAACAATTTTAAAAAATGAATAGACGTGAGGAATCATAATATGAACTATTGAAAACCAAACAATGTCTATGTCCGTAAGGGCTGTGAAAGTAAATCAGCTTCTTCAAACAATTGTGTGCATAAATTTATAAATAGACGAGAGGAATCATAATATGAACTATTGATAACCAAACAATGTCTATGTCCGTAAGGGCTGTGAAAGTAAATCAGCTTCTTCAAACAATTGTGTGCATAAATTTATAAATAGACGAGAGGAATCATAATATGAACTATTGATAACCAAACAATGTCTATGTCCGTAAGGGCTGTGAAAGTAAATCAGCTTCTTCAAACAATTGTGTGCATAAATTTATAAATAGACGAGNATACAAAAAACTAATTATCAAAGCAAAGTACAATAGTTGGCAATATCTCTGTGAAAGCATTAAAAATCCCCATGGAGCTCATTATAAGTCATCCTTTAAAACAAACTCCTATCCGACCATCTTAACTCAGATTTATGACTCTAACTGTCCAATAGAAGAGGCCAAGAATGTTCTTCATAATCTTTTCCCAGATGACAATGTCATCCAACAAAACAAATACAGCTATCAAAATAAAAATCCAGATCCTCCCTTCAACCACAATGAACTTCAACGTCTTCTTAGAACACTAAACAACAAAAAAGCACCAGGCATAGATGGCATTGATTATATAATTGTAAAAAACTTATTCATGTTTTTCGGTCCACTTATCCTAAATTTTTTCAACAAATGTCTCACTCAGAAGTCTTCCCTGACCATTTCAAAAAAGGGCAAGTTTTACTTTTTCTTAAAAGAGGCAAAATTCCTAATGTTTTATCTTCATATCGTCCTATAACACTACTTCTTTGTTTGGGTAAATTCCTAGAGAAATTAATCGTTAAGAGACTAACTTTTCATTTAGAGAAACTCAACGCACTGTGTGATTTACAATACGGTTTTAGATTTGGTAAATTGGTCAATATAGCACTAGAAAATTTCAAAGATAACCTATCACTTTTAAAAAATAATCATAAACGCGTCGCCGCAATATCGCTCGACATCAAAGGGGCATTTGACAATATCCAGTATGATCTAATTAATAGAGAATTGTCAATGTACCAAGTCCCATCCAATCTTTGTTTTATAATAGAAAGCATCAATACGAACAGGCAAGCCATCTTAGCAACAAATCGGGGATATGTAACAAAAACAATTAAAAAAGGCTGCCCACAAGGGTCTTGCATAGGACCGACTGCGTGGAATTTAGTATTTAATAACCTTTTCAAAATGCAGTTTGAAAATTCCATTATACAAGCCTTTGCAGACGACTTGATAATTCTTACATATGCCAACTCTAGGAGGCAGTTAAAATAAGTATCGAATCTAACTCTAACTCGTATTCACAATTGGATCACCAACACTTCTTTAACTCTTTCAATTGATAAAACAGCCTATATACATTTTTGCAACACTAACAGGGGTGCAATCTTCAAAATTAACAACCAAAAAATTAAGCAAACAAATCATTTTAGGTACCTTGGAGTTGCAATCGATAAAAAATTGAATTGGGGTCATCATATCAATATTCTTAAAGAAAAGGCAAACACTCTTCTCAATTCTCTTTACAAAATCAATAATAAATCTTGGGGAATAAATCAAAAAGCAAGAAAACTCATTTATAACACAGTAATAGTCCCCTCTCTAGCACACGGTTGCAATATTTGGGCAAAAAATATCTCACCCCGGATATCTAGAACCTTAATTTCGATTCAACGCGAATTCCTTTTGAATATGACCAGGGCATACCACTTTACCCCCACGGCAGCTCTTCATGTTTTAACAAATATTCCCCCCCTTCCAGACCAGATTATGCTCTTGTCATGCTCAACAACATTAACTCAAATTAAAAAAAATGCA